CAAAACATTTTGGAGTACATATTTTAATTAGACATGTTTTACACTGCTGAGTTGTTTCATTTCTTATATTATGTTTTATGTGCATGGCATTTTGTTGTAGGATGTTGCTTTTTATTTGTTGCAGGAGCATGTTCGGGAAAATGGAGCCAGTGTACTTGTAACTGAGTTGTGCATTCACTTTGTGATAGTCTGCCATGTGTCGGGTAGTTCGGAAGGGACAAATTGCATAGCATATCTTCCTTAATATTTAATTAAAAACGTTTGTGAAGTAGGCAACTTAGAATATAAGACATAAGCATTATAAACAGCTATATCAAACATATCAAAGAAAAATCTTTTGCACATTTTTTGCATGAGAAGGAAACATTGGTCTTGCTTTGACACCTCCCATTCCACAATTGTACTTTACAAAACAGGTCGGTAAACAGTTTCGTCTTCACCTCCCATCTTTCTTCTTTTCCCCGTATCAACCATTTCAGCTTTTGAGTGTTTTGAGCGTATGCCAGCATAAGGACAGAATCCCTCTACAAGATGGTGCATTTAATTCTCCTTTTTTTAGCTTATACGATGCCAGCTTCTTTGGCATATTTTCCCCTTTTTTTCTCATCATTCCAAGAACATTAGCATTTTTTCATGCAAAACTTAAATTAGGAGATAATACCAATTATCGAAGAACTAATTAGGAGATTAATTAGGAGGAATTAGAAATAAATTAGGAGATAAATACTAATTATCTAAGAACAAGGTATATCCTTTCCCTAAAATGAATTCAGCTAGTTGCATGACTGTACTTTCCAATACAGGTTCATCATTTCCTTGAATTTTGTCTTGTCCTGTGTAAATTTTAAATCATTAACAATACCCAGAATTGGATTCACATAATTTTTTAAATTTAATTCCAGATTTCGATTGTTTGGATGCTATGAATTGTACGTAGTTTAGCCACCCTCTGAATTTCATTAGGGATTTGTCGATGATGATATTTTGTTCCGGAATGTATATGTTGAATGTAATGAATGTTTAAAGCTTGCATTCAAGTAATCCATCACGGATCAAACATTTTGTACATCTCATTATCTACAAAATGAAAATAATGCGTTATGACCAAAAAAACATTTATGAGGCATAGTTCGTAAAAATATGGGTGTTTTTATATTTTTTGTTTTGAGCAATACGTGCCTGTTTTAGATTTTTTTTTATCTGCGACATTATAATTCATGATGCAAAATATATTCTAACTTTTTCATTTGTTAGTGAATACCATTTTTCGTTCATTTTTGTATTGTGTTCCATTTTCATTTGAGCTGCATATCTATTCGTTTCTCTATCATTTGAAAAAAATCATGTCATAAAACTTGTTTGGAAACACACAGAGGGGTTGCATTTATACCCATTCTTCTTAGAACTGAACAATTGTTCTAGTAAATTATTTTATATTCATTGTATTTTCTTTTTCTTTACAATTCCATTCATCCTCTGCTACATCAGAATCTTTACTGCTAGAAATAGGTCTTGCATGTTTACACACATTTTGTCGAACAGAGCTAGCCTCACTCGAATACTCAAGAGTATAAACACTTTGAGTATAAATACAATTCATTTTTTCATTCTCATTATCATCTCTAGATTAGTGTAATACACTTTCGAAGTCACTTTCATATAATGCATTCAACTCAGACATGTTGGGAGGACTATTTCTAATTTTTAATAAATTCAAATGTGTACTATGGTGTTTGCTGTGCGAGATCAGTGCTATACCGAGTACCATGTTCATTGTGCTTTTTTCGTTACTGGTTTGGCGATGTGATTTTATTTATCAGTACTGTTGTGAAACAATCTAAGCAAAACAGCATCGACTCACGACTGAAAAACACGATAAACAAACAAACTCAAACAAGTATCTAATAATATACTATGTGGCATTCACCGAAGACAGTTCTTGATGTCTAGGAGACCTCAAAATCTCCAATGGCATATGAAATGAATGTCATAGAATGTCGAGGGGTTAAAAACTTGCATGTAATATTAGCCATAAATTTATATGTTCTTTTGATATCATATTCATTGGGAATGGCACTTTTTCTAATGGACTATCTACAGCTAGCAATTTCTCTGAATGTAGTATTTTGAACAACCTGAAGTTTGTGAATGTACATTTTGCTTGCATAACCCCAGCCAGGATAGCTACATATAATGATAGAATGCAGCATGGTTCGTATATATAAGTGATTCACTAACCGATAAAACTGAATTCTGAGAAATAAAGGAGAGTAGTTATATGTTAAAAGCCTGGAACTTTGAAATAACGTGTGGGTTCCAAGTGAATCTTTGATCTATAACAGTGCAAGATATTTTACTTGTTTGGCCAAAGGATAACTGTATTGTATTTATCAATATTTTGATCAAGATTTTTTTTTTTTTTTTTTTTTTGTAAAAAGTGCAGTTTCACATTTTTCAACATTGGCAATTTTCCACTTCTAAAGCCTGGATTCCAGAGCATGGATATGTTCTTGTAGGGAATGTTTGACTGAACTTAAAGCATTTTGAGTCATGATCACTGTATTATAGTTGTTGTGTTTATGTTGTATGGTATGTGATTCACTTAAATAAGGGATGAAATTAAGCCGAGTAGTGACTTGTGCCTGCAAATATTTGCCAGTGCATAGAGTAAACAATTGCTGTAATAAATAACAAAATACATATCCTTAAGCTAGAAATTAATGGTGTGAGTAATATAGCCCAGGGAATCCAGGAACAATTAGTTTGTAGAGAAGCCCATTGAGCCAGACATGATCAAAGGATATAGGAATATCGAGATATAGGTGGAAGTTATGTCAGTACCTTTATAGTGCCACAGGTAATAGAGGTATTGCTAAACCTAGCTAACTGGTAAACTTCTACCTCAGTTATGAGTGTGAACACCACAAGTGGCAATCCAAGGGTCTCCCCCTTCTTTCCCTGCCTTTGTGCTCTCGAGAGGACTTTCGGCTCATTGTGTATTTTGAGCATACCTTTTGCTGCACAGATACTATATTCTTACAGACATCTTCCAGGATTCAAACTTAGGCTGATCCATATGACAATTAGAATCAGTAACCGTTTACTGGCTGGGTGGCTATATCAAGAAACAGTGCTTTAGTAAATTTGATGATTTTGAAGGCCTTCTGAGATGAATTCTATAACTCTGTAAAGCTGTTGGTTGGTAGAGTGCTTTTTGCAAAAGCTATGCTGCTGTGGAATGAAATTTTTTTTTTTTTTTTTTTTTTTGTATCTTCTATGTAATTCTGGATTCCATGTGGAATGACTGCCTCAAGCAATTTGCCGAGTGAAGAAAACAGGCTGATAAGCCGATGTGACAAGAGGTTATGTGACTTCTTTCCAGGCTTCAAGATTGACTCAGTTTATTACTGTTTTTCTGCTACAACTAAATCTGCTACAGCTTCGCCGCTCTCTTGTCTTCGTTTTGATGATGACTTCAAAAAATATTGGAGTAGTGGATTCTCCAAACTGTATTTTGTGTGAATCCAATCAGCCTATGATTTTTGAACATTTAAATTGCACTTTCTTTGTATAAGGACATTGTTAAGAAGTACTGGAGAGCCCATGAACTAATGGCTTAAGCACTAATGTTTGGCATTTGTAAAGTAAAATTACTGTTTTTCAATTCACAGGAAAGTACTAAAAGTGCAGGATGTAATTCTTTTTTTTTTTTTTTTTTTTTTTGTCAACTTGAATGACATTAAAGATTTTATTTCTTTAATGATCTTATGTTGTCCAGTCTAGAGCTGTTCAAGTCTTGTATTTCTTGATATAATTCAACTAATAGTGGATGTTTGAACCTCTGATGGCATAAGCAGAGGGATGTTGTTTGCATTTGGCTGTGATAAGAATTGTGTAACCGTACTAGAAACAATATATTCTATTTGAGGGTGGTGGATGTTGATGCAAAACTGAGATGTGTAGTTACCAGCAAGTGATTCTGCTTTGTCAGTCTCAATGTAAGTGATCCTGTTGGGGTCATTAAAGGGTGGAATATCTGTGTAGTATCCTTTATATTTAGAGGTGGTACTCTAAACTGAATTATCTTCACTGGAAAAGGCCTCTTAAGTATTTGGTCAGGTTAAGTTGCACATGTTTTTTTTTTTTTTTTTTTTTTTTTTTTTAATGAGGGACTTTATTTCATCACTGAGTTGATTCATCAGCTTGTCACCAGGGCAGCGAGTTCTTTGCTAGATAGGTTTTATGGGCTAATGATGCTAGTATTGACGACTAAACCATTGTAGATTCTGGTTTTTTGAAGAAAACTTTTTCACTTTTAGTAGAGAAATAATTGAAGTATGTTCATGTATCTTTTGGATATTTTCATCAGAAAGCATTTGAAAAAAAAAAAAGGCATTTAGTTTTATTTGTGATTGGGTCAATATGTTATGCCAGGAAAGATATGCCTATTTACAATGAATTCTGCACAGGATGTGGCTGTCCCAGCCTAGGAGCCTGCTGAAGTGCCCAGCACCTGAGCCTTCTGATTGGGTAATTTTTGAAACAGAATAACCATCTTTCAGAAGTGCATTTTTGATGTCATCCTTATTAAAATTAAATGGGATACTCCTTAAGAGTACTCTTACAGATCTGATATTTAGCAGCATAATTAAAAAATATTCTATTTTTATGTCTGGGAGAGAAATATGGAGCATGTTGTAATCATTATTAGTTTTCAGTAGAATTCTGAGGAGTTCCTTTTTCTAAGAACTCATCATTAGTACTTTTGGAGAATCAGAGAAAGTGGCTTCATCTCAAAACTTGACCATAGTCAAGTGGAATATCGGGATTTTAAGGCTATAAAGTCTGACTCTGGGCCATATTTGAGATTTATAATTTTTATTTAGTGCGAGAAACTGTATTTATTTTCTGTTAAAAGATTGAGTTTTCCATATTAATTGTTTTTTTTTTTTCTCTGTTTTAGAAACTTTGGTAAATTTATTTTCATTATTTGTTTTCAGATTCTGTCTAAATGGTTGAACTACAAGGAGAATTCAGAAAGTAAGTTTTTTTTTGGAACATCTACAAAAAGTAAAAGTAATTTCATGGAAAGATTTATTGAAATAGTTATAGGAATTGCTAAGTTACATTTCAACATAATACATAGCAGAATTAAATCATTTGCTATACTGTAGGAACAAATTTTGAATTCATGCATTTTAGAATTCTCTTGCTTGGCATCAAAACCATTGTGTGACAGCTCTCTGCACCTCTGCATCATTTTGAAAAGTGGTGGCCTGCTGAGATTAAATAGTGAATGTTTGAATATTTCTGATTAGAACTCTTCCATCATATATTTTGTGTCAGAGCCATATGATGTCGAGTGTTATCTTGCAAGAAAACATTGCTGATGCTGAGTGGACTATATCACACATTTTGGATAGCTCATTGCAGTTTCACAATGCTTATAGTGATGATTATTGTTCACATACTCGCCAGTATGTGATGTCCCTGAACACTGTGCACATCACTTTCCATACTGACACATTTTATTTGAATTTAGTATTTGTCAGGAGTTTCAGTCGGAATCCATTGACTGCCGCTTAGTTTCTGGAGTAAACTATTCCACCCATATTTCATCACCATAAATGATCTTGTTCAGAAATTCTTTGCTATTTTTAAACTACGAATACTGCTGCAGAAATATCAATGATGAGGCCATGAGTTATAATTTGTGTTTGTGTGTCAGTTCCTTGAACATCTGTCTATTGGGAATTTTCCAGAAAAACATGCTTTATTACAATTTCATCTAGCAACAAGTTGGGGAATAGCTGCAGTGTTCTGTAAAAATGAAGTTACAGTTCTCAAAAATGTTCTGCTGCACTTGCTCTTTAAAGTTGCTTATAACAACTGATTACTGCCCTCTGTGCCCCCTGTTATCCTTCTGTAAATTGCCTGTACTCATAACACACCATTTGCTTATTCTTGATGTCTGGCCTAGACAGGCAGAGCTGACAATGAAATTTGATCAGTATTATGCTTTTCAAACTTCAAAAACTGAATTTTGCAGTCAGTGGGAAATAGAGAAAATTAGCTATTGCATTGATACTACTGTGAGCAAAATATCGCAACTCCTCCCCCCACCAAAAAAAAGTCGCGCAGTGTAAACTGACTTGATTTTCTATGCCATGATAGCTTACAGATAATATATATTATAAAATTTATGATATCCAGCCTAGTGTAATAGTTCTAGTCAGGCTCTGTTGAGTCTCGGAAATTTTTCTGTGAACTTTCCTGCTCAATTCATATAGTATTACTTATATATTTTCGTAGAGTAGACAACTCTAATTAGGGGAAAGAGGTAGCAAGTGACTTTGGGTGAATTTTTTAAAACAGATTTGTATTTTACAGATGTACTTGTTATTCCCATAGATAAAAGCTGATATAAAATTATTATTACTTGGTCAGATTTGCAATAAACCGTCTGTATTTTGATTAATTCATTTAAGCACTAGCAGATTGTTCCCAGATTTATTGCACTCATTTCATTAGCAGCTGGGTTTCTTCTAAAGTTGTCTTTATTTTTATTATTATTATTACAGTCAAAAGTCATTGATCTGGACACCAATAATACGGAATGATCTATAATCCGGACCTCAAAGCTACAAACTTACTGCGCATGCGTTAATGCATGCGCATAGGCGTTTACACATGCGCATAGGCATTTACACATGCACATAGGCATTTACACATGCGCGTAATACCTTTGCACATACGCATAATACGTTTATGCATGCGCGTTTAATGTGTAACGGGCGGCATAAGCTAAGCTAAAATTAGCTAATTATCTATTTCAGTTAATGTTTCAGATTGCGTTGTTCCTTAATCTTCGAATTGGATCCGGCTTATTGTTTTTTGCAGACTGTTAGAGCAATTTTATAGAAGTAAGCTTGAACTTTCGATTATGTCAAATAGAATTTCCGATGCGGGAGCTGCCAAAGGATCTGCAAAGTGAAAGCATTTTTTGATGTCCGTTAAACAAAAAGTGGAATTGCTGCAAAAAATGGATAAAGGCATGAAGAAAGTGACAGAGAGGTGATTTGTTTCTCTAACCGTTCCCAAATGTGTTTATCAATTTCATGCTGCTCTGCGGAAGGGGGGGGGAACGTTGCGACGTGCAATGAACTGGAAGTTGATCTGTCAGCACTATCCTCATCTTCAGGGCAGATGTTTTTATTTTATTCGGCTTATAATTCCTCACTAAATGTAGTGTTTCATCTCGATGTACTCCGATATAATTTAAATCAATTTCCTCGTCATTATAAATATCACGAATACACATCAAATAGTTTTCTGATTGCAATTTTCTAATTTCGACTATGCGTAATGTATGCTTTACGCATGCGCACGTTAAAAGAAATGTTTAATAAAGTAAACAAATTAATATTAAGCTTTTTTTTTTGTAAATTTGTATACCCTTTAGATCATAATTGCTCTTTATTTTATAAGTTACGGTTTCACATTTTTGATTTTATAATTTCTGCATGCCATCTTACCAGATTTAAACTGATGACCTATAATCTGGAAAAACCGATAATCCAGAATCACCGAAGTCCTGACGAGTCTGTATTAAAGACTTTTGACTGTATTATTTTTGTGTAGTGTAATTTACTTTTGCTTTTCCACACTTCTCTAAGCCTTTAGAGTAGCGGTTCTCAACTTTTTGACTAATGTGGACCATCTAAATAAAATTGAAAAACTTAAGTACCACCACTACATAATACAATGATTATTTTTCAATTTCTCAATAGAAATATTAAAAAAAAAATCTGTAAGCTTTCAGACTTTATATTGCACCCAAAGGTGCATTTTTAATGCTTTGTCTGTTACCTTTATTTATTAAATATTACGCTCTTCTCACTTAAACCATAAAACTGAATTCAACAGCAATATCACAAAATATTTAAAAAAACATATCTTTAGAATTTCCAATACACAGTCTAGCGTGCTGGAGATAAAGTTTTTTCGTACAGTGTTGCCATTGCTCGGTTTAAAATTTTTTAGTTTGTTAATCAAATTCATTAAAGTGTTGCAAAATATGAAATTGATAATAAAACAAATTTCAGATTAGGACTTCCAGATGCCCACATTTGGTGGAGGATTACGTTATTCAGAATTTGATGGCTCTAGGTACCGTTGTTTTATCACAATGCGAGAAACATGCATACATTTATGCAGATTCTTCATTATTTAATTTCATTAAATATAACACAGGACAATAATATTTGGAGGCAACAATTTGAAAAGTGAAATAGACATTTAAAGTTTTCAATGTAAAATGTCAAAACAAAATTAATAGCCCTTCTAGGCTATTAATTTTGTTTTGACATTTTCCCTTTGAGTTAAAGAGAAAGAAAGAAAATCGGAATGCTTTCAGATTTTATATTCTTTAATTGTTTGGTGTGATACCTTTATTTATTAACCCGCGGGAAGGTGCGTGGGGTGTATCATACCCCACCTCTACATAAAAGTGGAATATTCTTAACTTTTGAAACTAAAATTATGTGCTGCATTCAGTAGCTGAGTTTCTAGTTGTGGTTGACTTTCAGAACCACTTTTTCTTTGCCTGTGTGTTTCAGAAAAAGATTTATTGGTATTTTGTTGGAACTGGAGTATGACACAACCCACGCGCCTGTTCGCATAAGTGTTTTTCTGACTGAATATTTAGTTCAGAAATTTATTTCTTGAGTGCAAAAGTAAATATTTCTACTCGCAAGTGATTTTAAAGTACTTGACGTTAAATTCTTAAAACTTTCTAACCGCATTATGGTAAAAAGAATGACTCCCTATGAATTGGAGATGCAACGCCTATGAGATTTATTAGAAATATTTGAAAGCGATGAAGATCGGAAACTGAAGATGAAACTAGGAATATTTTCTACACTGTTTTTGGTTTCGCAAAAGATAAAACATTAATTCCTAATGTTCCTAAAAAAGGAAAAACTGTTCTTATGCTTTCAACATTATATAACGATCGTACTAAAGATGATACTATTGGAGAAAATAAAATATCAGGAATTATATGTTTTTATAATATGACTAAAGGAGCAGTGGATATGGAGAATGAAATGTCAGCCAATTATTCAATTGCCAGTATAACAAGGAGTTGGCCAATGGTAATCGTGCACTGAATATTGCTGTAATAAATGCTTGAATTATATTACATTCAACTGCTAATCAATCTACCAACTAGAAACAGAAGTCTGAAGGACTTAGCGTTACAATTAATGAAAAAAAGTATTGAACAAAGATCAGAGATTAATACTTTACCAAGAAACTGACGTACTGCATGCAAAACAAAAGCAAAAGTTTCGACGAAGAATTAAAATGAATACATGAAATTTGAAACAACTAAGTATGAAAGATGTGATAAATTGCCCTTGCGCCAAGGACAGAAGAACGTGAATGTAATGTTTAAAATGTGAAAACATTCTGTGCCAAGAACTCAAAATGTATTTCGTTCAAAGTGTAAAGAAATAAAATAAGAATTGTATGTTAGAGATGCAATGAAACTTAGAGACATGATGTTATATTTTTTTATTATTTTCATTTATCTTAATTTTAACTCTAAAATTATTTTGGAAATTAAATTTTTGAAACCCAATTATTATTCATGTATTTATAATACACGAGAACAAGAAAAACAGCTTTAAAACGAAATAAAACTATTTTTATCGTATTTCAAATACTGGGGTATGTGATACCCCACGTGCCCACTCTAGTAACTTTTCTTGGTGCGATTTCCGCCGGGTTAAGTATCATGTTCTTCTTACTTAAAATGCATAAAATTAAATTCAGCAGCTATATGACAAAATATTTAAAAACATCATACTTTAGAATTTCCGATACACAGTCTCAAACACTGGGGATTAATTTTTTTTATACAATGTTGCCATTGCTCGCTTTGAAATTGTTTTAGTTTATTAATCAAAAATTCGTTTGCAAAAAAGTTTTGCAAAATTTGAAATAGATAATACAGTCAAAAGTCTTTAATCCGGATG